TTACGATCAAGTTGTAGCTCTGAAAAAAATTAATATTTGATGCTCAAAAATCACATTCTCTCAGCTGAAAACTGTCATTTTTTTCTTCTCAAGTATACTTAATGTAAATTAATCTTTCCATTTCCTCAGTTCTTAAGATTAATTTCTGTTGTAAGGGTTTTAATAAAGTTCAGTTAAACTCAATAAAACCAGCTTCTGAATATTAATTTAGCCACAAACCTATTTTAGTCACGTGATGATTGAATTACAAATCATTCAGGCAAATTATAATTACTTTCTGTCGTGCATATTTCTCAAAACCAGGAGCATATACATTTTTCATAATCTTGAATATATTCCTAAGGGGAGTGTGTGTGTGTTTGGTTTATTTACAAAAAAAAGAAAAGACTAGAAGTTCTGTTAATTAACAATACAAAACTAAAATCTTTTAACACAGTTTATAACTGTAATGATGTCCGTTTATTTCATATCATTAAATTCGGTCCAACAGAAAAACCTATTACTCTGGATTTTACTACTGTTATCTGTCTTACGCTCCACACTACATAAGTTAATGGACAGTCAATTGTATGGCTATAAAATAATATACGCTTAAGAAACACATACAAAATGTCTTACTTCTTCATACTATGTAAATACCAAGTTTTTCATTTGCAGAAACTCAAAAAACTATGGTGTTCATTTTGATTAGAAACAATAAAGAATGATGTAGGAATGCTGATTTTTTCAGTTATATTAAGTACATGGAATATGGCATTTGCAAGAAGTCGTCTCCCTCCGCCTGCTGATATTTCTCTACTGCAGTGTTTCTCAAAGGGTGGTGGGACAACAAACCTACCTGCCAGGCACCTTGCTAAAAAATGCAGATTTCTCGGCCCCACAGCCACTGATGCAAAATCTCTGAGGGAGGGACTCTGGGGTCCTCAGACGACTCTTACAAAAGCTGAGATCTGGAAACCCTTTTTCTACAGTCATTATCCTCAAAGTAAAACCACAAAGTGTTAAATGGATTTAAGAATAATTTTTAATTTTCAAATTGTAAAAACTGCATTTAAAAATATAGGCATAAGGCACTATCATAAATCAAGAAATAACATGTATTTTTACCACAATCTCAATCTTGCGTTATATATCACTTTAGTAAAGCAGAATAACATGGTAAGAGCATATAATAACACAGAACAAAATGCTATAGTTAAGAATTTTAAGCAAAACCAAAGTCTATTAATTACTCACAGAGTTTTACAGTCTAAGGGTGTAAGAGTCAATATAAAGGTGAGTTAATAATATGACTGGAAATAGCATGTCTCAAAAAAATTTAGTACTTTTTAAGCACTTCAAAAGACATTGACCTTCATATATCAGAGCACAGGCATATTAATCAGGTAAAAAAAACTCCCAGTGCCTCATCTCAAAGCCAAATTCCAATGACTTACAGCAAAGGGCCTTCTATTAGTAAAATACCTATGAAACCAAAATATTAAAAAACAAAAACCCTAAAACATCCAAGTTAATATCACCAGTAAATGAAACAAATCAATATTCCTGCCGAAGAGTGCATAAATTAAATCCAATCATGAAGAAACATCAAACAAACCCAAATTGAGAGACTTGCTACAAAATAACTGTCCTATATTGGTGAAAATGTCCAAGTCGTCAAACACAAAGGAAAACCAAGAAACTGTTCCAGACTAAAAGAGATGACAACTAAATGTGATGCCTGAACCTGGATTGGATGTTGACGCAGATCACATACGTGTTCAGAACATCCATGCTGATTTGAATAAGGTCTGTAGTTTAGATAAAGGTATTCTACCAATGTTAGTTTCCTGATTTTGGTCATTGTACCACGGCTATCTAAAGGAATGTCCTTGTTCTTAAGAAATATACACTGAAGTAATGAGGGGTTGTTTTCAACTTATTCACAAATGGGTCACAAAATATTATGAATATATAGAGAATGCTAGGGAAAATGGGACAAAACGTTAACAAGTGGGGAATTCAAGTGAAGACTTTGTAGTATTCTTGCAACTTTCCTGAAAGTTTGAAATTATTTCAAAACAAAAAGTGATAAAAATATTTTTAAAAGCTTAACAGGAACACCAAAAGAAGAAAATCTAAAATTTTTTAGAATTCATTTTTAAGCTTCATATCTAAAGGAACTACTTATGTCTATTTGTTTTGTAAATTTAGACAAAATGTGAACAAATTAAATTTTCAATTCCATTTAACGTCTTCATACTAGAAATTACAAAACCGTGTTGCTCTTTTTATCCTATCAATTATATGTATATTCCTATCTATACATATGTGAATGGAAAACACCTCTACATTTTACATTCATTTGAGAAATATTTTAAATGTTGCTTCTTATATTTTTCCTTCAATGTTGTACCTTAATAATTTATGAGTCTCCTATCTCTAATTGATTTTGTTTGTTTGAAAGTAGTTTTAAAGTAGAACGTTACCTATTTAGTGGTGCTCTGATTTGTTTATACACATATAAGTAACAAAGAACCCTACCACATCCGATTACCAAACAATACTTTGTCAAAGCACAGATCATTATTTTGCAATGTGATTTCCTAACCAATCTAATCTAGTAACTGTGTCAGAGGTTTACTGTGTAGTGTGGAGAGAAATATGTTAGGAGGAAGATGTTAATTCCCTCCAACAGTACGTGGCACACAGTAGGCACAAAGTTTGGGGGAGGAAAAAAGGATTATTCCATGATTCCATATAACTTGCAATGTATCGTCAGAAACCATGAGATAGTGGCATAATAATTAGATGCTTAAAAATCTAAAGATGTGAAAATAATGCTTCTGAGAATCCACAGATGTCAAATTACAAAAGCTTTTGGTGAAAATGACTTTTTAATATCTATTTTGGCATGCTTTTTATATTGTTATAACTATCAGGGATGTTGCCGTATTAATATCAAATTAAGATCGTGAAAAAGAAAAAAGAAAAAAAGACGCATTTTGTACATATTGTATACTATATTGAGCTATAAAGCTATGAAAAATTTAAAGCCAGAATTTTACAGAATGTCACCAAATCCAATTGAAAGTTGCTAGTATCAACAATTCTTGATATACGTTTTTGAAATGCTGGAGTCTACAGGATTGAATTCAAATTCTATTTGATTCAAGCCCTGACTCGCCTACTGAAAGGAAAGTTATGGTGACTTAGGAGAAATCCAAAGGAAGATGCAGTCACAGGACACAAGCGCAAAGGACTTGCAAACACTTTCTCCTTTTAAAATCAAACTACCGCTTAAGCACTTGATTTTCAACACAAGGACGGTTTAAAATTAGTTGGAAAAGAAGATCCTGAAAATAAACTGAATCTACAGTTTAGGCGTACTTTGAGTATATTAACATAGGTCACTGAGGAGTCTGATGCATTTTCATTTTTATTAAAGTTAATCACAATTCCTACTTCAAGATATTCCACAACTTAAGAAAAAAAAGAGGATTACAACTGCTCGAAGGGAGTACAAATTGAATTAATGCAAATTTTAGGAACAGGATTTAAAATATTTTTTATAAGACAGGCATCGAACCAGATAAATATGTGAACTTCTTATACTAGGTTTCCAAAAAGAAAAACCTCCTGAAAATTTCTTCCATATAAAAATTCAAGATGAAAATGGATCAAGCCATGTAAATCAAGAATGAACATCAGCACTTTGAGAATTAGTAACCAAATACATATTGCTTGTTAAAACATTCAGCTGCAGAGGAAATATTAAAATGTAAAAAAAGAAACAGCACCTTTTAAAAATCAAGTGATCTAAAATGAAAGTGTGCAAAACTATTCTGAACTACAAATCTCCATGTGAAGTAAGTAGAAAAGAAGGTGGTAACACAAAACAAGCAATTTTGAGAAGTGTTATTTTACATGTTGACTGTAAATGCAAACAATACAGAACACTTAAAGCCAAAATGACACCCACATATCTATAGTAGGCAAAAAGTTCCTTTTCTTTTAAAGTCTCATATTTCATATTCTCTCTAAACTGGAGCAAGCAGCATACCTTAAGACAAGGGGGAAACTTTTTAAAGGACCTACCTAAGAATGAAAGCAGTAAAATACCTTCAGTGTATCTTTCTATTAAACATCTGGATGCGAGGTCTGCTATTCAACGGAATTCAGAATAAAATGAGCCTGTTTCAAATCATATCCCAAAACCTTTTAGTTACATAAGTACTACAAAGGGATTATCATAACATGATTTTTATTAGATTATTCCATGGTACAGAGCAGCCTTTTTGAGTACAACATTACGATAAGACCTAATATTATTATTTTTTTTCACAAGTGAGGCAAAGTATATACTTAAATTTTTTCTAATCCCTTAAAATCCTTACAGTGGAAAAGGTTGTCCTTGAGTGGTTAATTCAAATAAAAATAAATGTGCTTAGTAGTATAAGTAATTTCAATGGCCTAGACACATTTTCAAAGAATATTTTCCAATTGTGACTTCTACTTGAATATTTTTGGGTTTTTTACGTGGCTACTTTATCTATATCAAAGGTCTTCCCACATAGCAAATGATGTCCATGCTTCCAAAAATTATCAATCAAAAATGCTGCCTTATAACTTGAAAGAAATAGATCTTGGGTTCAAGAAATATCAATACATAATTAACAAGTTATTATAACTCTGTATTTACTTTCATTTATAAATATCACATAAATATCACTGGCGGGGATCATAATGTTAAATCAAATCATTAAACTAATTTCTAAATATTGATTTAAAAAGCTTTGAGCATATGTTGCAAAAAAATTTAGTAAAATTAAAAAAAAAAAGTTTTTTTTCCCCAGGTAATACACCCAATTATTTTCTTACTGATCATCACCCACCCAGGAGCTGATGATAAATACTCGCATAGTTCTTGTAGAAAACGGACCTGGCACAATGTGAAGAGAAATATTGGCAAATGGCACGTGTCTCAAGTTCTATGTTAACAAACAAGACAATCTGTCATATTTCATGAAGTTGTTTATTCTTGTCATTAAAACTTGGACTCAAGTAATCCTGGTTATTCTGGAAAAAGCACCTTGTGTGTAGGGATCATTTAATCATCCTTTTCTACAATCACCTCTCCGTGAAGCACCTTTCTTCTTTGACGTAACATATGAAAATAGAGTTGTGGAAACACTTAACGGAAAGAAGAAAACAAAGAAAGATGAGTTACTGTTGGAAATTATTTATATTCGAAATCTCTTAAATGTGGCAAACTTGGAGAGCAAGCACAGCACATACGACCACTATCCCCCGGTATTTACAGATCCCAGGGTAGGAGTACAAAGGGAGGCCCACACACCACACACCTAAATATTTTAATCCATAAACTCTTGGGGTTTCTTTAGCAAATGAATATCTTGCAAATATACCTTCATAACGACCTGAAAGGCTATGTTTAAATTTGGAATTCTGTAACTCTTTGGAATACTGTGCCAGAACATTCTAGCACAAGGAGAGCTACCCAGCCTGGCCCCTTCTCTCCGTTCTATTGGCTGTCCTGTACCTTGAGTGGTCTCATGAACACGTGTGGATATCCAAGCCCACACAACCCAGCTTCATCCATACCCCTCACAAATGGCTGCCCCTTGATCTCAGGGATGTGCATACTGGTGACATGATTAACCCTCAGGAGAACAGACTGGAGAAGAGACCTCTGCAGTCCCTAGATACACCCTCAGCACCATTTGGGTAGCAAATTCCATGATAGGAGGTTTCCAGAATGTCATCTAGAAGGGAAGAGGGGCCTGTGTGGAGGGGTGATCAGTAGAGGGCCAGAACAGGGCCCTCTAAAACAGGGCCCAGAGCAGAAGCCCCTCTTGACTGGGTATAAGGGCAGTCTGTTACATACAAACACATAAATGTATATGTATTAGGTCAGTTAGACAAATGGTCATCTGCCCTGTCAAATATGGAGAATTATTCTGAGCCAATTTGAATCAGTGCTTTAAATTACAGTTGTAAATGTTAGTGGATGAATAAATTAACATCAGCCTTAAACAATATAAATGTAAAAATACCTCTGAAAATGATGAACAGAATAACCAAAACCAATGAACCTAATGACAAAACAAGTTTTGAGTATCTTGCTTAGGGCAACTTTGGATAACTATCTTTAGAACTTAGCTCAAATAGAGCAAAAATGCACAACAAACTCTTTTTTTAAATTTAGGTACTACCCATCTTGATACATGTAACCACTACCTTATACCTAGGTGGCCTAAATGTATTCACGTCATATATACTTCAAGCGAACTGACAAATTATTGCAAATACTTCTATAACATTCTGAGTAGTTTAGTAGAAGTATGGCCTTGAGTTCAAATCCTGACCTTATGTACAAGCTGGGTGATTTTTAAGCAATTCACTTAACCTCTCTAATCTGTAATGTCCTCATTGATAAATGAGAACTAATAGCACTTCTGAGTATTAAAATAAGTACTCAAAAATATTTATAATTAGCAAAGGATTTAATAAGCAAAGTAAAATTAGTTGTTATTACTGCTAATACTAATAATCAAGTGGAAAACATTCCCCTGGCTGACTGATCCTTCAGCAAGTGGGACTCGCAGGTAACTGCCAGCACAGTCAACTGAGAAGCTGCTACCGACATAGGTAGAGTCTACATCTCCCAGGACACCTGAAAACACACAGTCAAAAGATACTGGTTTGATGGTTCCGAACCATGATCTTTTGGGCCCTGGGTTTCCGTGGAGATGCCTCAGTGGTCATGAGGAAGAGGCGGACCCAATACCTGAACCTGTAACTATGTTATGACAGACAGCGAAGGAAGGTCTGTCTCTGCTCGAGGCGTGCTGCCGTTCACTAGATGTTGGGATAAGCAGAGCGTATAAACAAACGCAGTAGATGTACCACTCCTTAGCCCTCCTGCACTGGCTCTGGTGGATAATCTGACGACAGGCTGAAAGTGTAGAAGACGAGGGGAGTAAAATCAACATCTGACCGTAAGTCAACTTTGATGTCGGAGGAGCTTAAAAGTTGGAAGCCTCACGGGGCTGGTCAAGTTTTATGCTCATCCCTTTTAGATGAACTATTTTGTATCGTGTCAACGCAGATTTTAGATTCTATAAACTATTCTCATTTCCTTATCCCCCCCGCACTGACATTAGAGTCTCTAATTTTATTGAGAAGAGTAAGTAACAGCCTTGCTTTACCTTCATATTTCCTACTAATGACTACCAAAATTTGACCTAAAAATATACCACTATTAGTGTTTAAACAAAGTGAGTAAAGCCTCACCAATTCATTGCAACTATTGAAAGGTGATGAGAAATTAGACAAGAGGCTGAATTATTCAAAATATGTAAAGAAAAGCAACTTCATTATTTTCTAGTACATAGAACAACACACATAGACTAAAAAGAACTTCAGGTGATTTTTCCAAGTATATGCTTAATGAATAGATACAAATGACCTGAAATTTTCTTGGGTGAAATGTTTATATTCAGATACATAATTCTAAATGCTTGCAAATAGTTCACTGACGCATGCTTTATTTTTCCTTTAAAAAAATAAATCATATTAAGCTTATTTTTAAATGATTTTGAGAAGGCAATCTTCTTTGTATTAACCTACCTTTTTTCTCATAGCTAAGAAAAAGTCTTTTTTTGCTCTTCATTATTTCAAATCATGAATACGTGAGGGACTGAATGGAGGTTTTGATGTATTTGTAGCTATTATTTCTCCTTGCTTATTAAACTAGCATATTATAATATCTTTCGAAAAACTTTCATAGCATATACTAAATCAAAGTATTAATAAATACATACTTACATGGTATATATGAGGCCATGGTTATAAGAAGAAAATAATAGTAGTCAAAAGAAATATTGTATTTATTAGGAAGTCTTATTGAAAACATTCCCGTTTTCTTCACATATGGTAAGGCAGCGTATATTGTAAGAAGTTCACCAGCAACTCCGACAGGATATAAGATGATAAAAAAATTATATCTGCAGAAAGAAAAACCTCAGAGAATTATTTTCTTAAAATAATTATTGGATTTTATCATGGTTCTTTTGCTAACTACTATATTTAAACTTAAAAATTCTCCTTCTTATGTATTGTAAATACATATTTACAATAACCTTATATAATGTACATTTTTTTCTGCTTTAATCATTTGCTTATTAATTATCATGCTTTTTTCTCATAGCAGTTTCTATTTTAAACAGCAAAATCTTAACAAAATAAGAAGCCAACTTACTCTACAGAACTGAAATAATTGTATACATTTGAAAAATGTACATGCAGGATACATGTATACATGTAAAATGTATATACTTAAAATTTTTAAGTATTGTAAAGTATGTAAATATTGTATTGTATTGTAAAGTATATGTAAGTATTGTAAGGAACTGTAAAGGAAACTTCTTTGACTCCTGGAATCATAACTGACTGTTTTTTTCCTGCAGCTAATCATTGACTGATCAAATGCTGTGCTTTAGAAGACCAGCTATGATTCTATTTTATATCTACACCTTGAAATTACCAAAGTACTTCTCTGGAGGCATTTGGAAAACCCTTTGTGGTTACTAATTAAAAGAGAATTACTATTTCAGAGAACTGATAATACTACCCAAGGCATCAGTAACTACTAATGAATACATCGTCGAAAACAAAACAAGTAAGAAAAGTTGTTTCCTGAATTCCCACATTAAAGGAATAGCTTGCTTTAAACAGAGCTGAGAAAGTTCTATTCAAAATCCAAAATCACAGTGTGTTCATTTGGATCGTGGCACGTTCTCTCACACAGAGAAGGCCAGACATGAGTTATGCCTACAGTTTCGGGAACACACTGCAAGTCTCTACTGGTCTCCAGCAGGGAGAGCCTCACGGACCCATATTTCATTTAATCATTTTGTTGGCATTATGAAATATTTGTAAAGAAAAGTTAAATTTATCGACATAAATTATGTCGATAAGCTTGGAGACAACTTAAAAATCACCTTATTTCTCTATGCCAAGGACATACAGGGTAAGAAATGGTGGAGGGGGACAGAATTATTTGCCAAAATAGATTAACTGGTAAAGAACGAAGAATGATCCTTTTACTAACCCTGTTTATTCCCTCCTTGCCTTGGGTACATCACCTGCTTTCTTACCAGTCTTGTGTAGTTACTTGCATATCATTTAAATCAATCTTTTCTAATCTCAATTTAAAATGACATATATAACCGAACATTTTATATTCCCTTCTCAAGTAAAACAGTCAAACTAATTTAAATGGTTCCTTAGCTTTATGTCACTCAGAAATTTTTTGGTAGCATTGTTCTTTAGTAGAAAAAAATATATCACAACTAGTTTAAAGCCTTAAAGACAGCGATTATTTTTAACGAAATGGGAACAAATTATATAATTTATTTGACTTTAGTTGCACTTTAACAAGATTGCATGTCACTAACTCTAAGTTCTGATGGCAGCATGAGAGATATAACTACCTATTCAGAAAAAGCTATGCTTCTTTATGCTTCCTAATTGTCACCTAAAATTTTTTTGAAGGGAATGCATTTTTGAAATTAAAATGGAAATCAATATGAAAACATAACTATACAATTATCTATCCAGTGGACTTTTCTAGGAACACTTCTAACGTATAAATAGAATCAAAATAAATTCAAACTGTCACAGTAGGCCAACTATTTACAAATAAGAAGCCATTTCTAAAGTAAAGTTTTATTTGAGAACAATAGCTTCAACATTTGAACATCAATGCAAATATTATTTTAGGTTATTTAATGGGGTTGGCAAATATATATAGACAGTTGGGATCTTTAAGATTTTTGACATGAAATATAATTATTCATGATTATGATTAACTGACAGGATGTATTATGCTAACATGTGCATTTCAAAGTTGAAAGATTTTATAATGCTTCATTTAACATTAAGCCAAGTGACAAAAGATTTCTAAACAGCAAATTTAAACATGCAATGGCAATTTTTAACTTTTCCAGAAATTCAAAACATGCAAACGCATTCCAAAAGGCAGACAAAGCATTAAAGACCGTTATCTTCCGCAAACAGATTTTATAAATGCAGCAAATGTGAAGAGACTATGTTATGAATTAGTATTTTTAAAGGCGCTAGAGCTCCAGAAAACTGCAGTCATGCAAAATGGCACTGAGATGCATTCTAGGATCAGAGTCTAGATACGTTCCAAACCGCCAACCTTGTGAAAGGCCCAATCACTAAAAGTGAGTAAGTTTTCAAGTACAATAAGAATAAAACCAACTAAATGCATATAAATGGTAGTGCAACCTTCTGATGACAGGCAGTATGTTTAAGCTCAAATTATAATTTTAAGGCATTTTATTATATACAAAATGGTCAGCCACAAATATCTAAAAAGGAGCTGGAGAATATAAAAAAGTCTGCAAGAATACATATCACAATTAACAGTGATAATTCCTGTGTAGAGGGATTATAAGCAATTTAAAAGGTTTTTTCCTTCTTTTTGGTTTATTCATATAAATTATTATATTAGAACATGTATAATATATGAGTTATAAAAAAGGAGTAATCACTTAATAAAAAGTGTTAGGCTTTGAATATATGGGGATCAAAAACAAAGCTGACACTAGCTAAGGATTATCCTCAAATAAGTTAGGAATGTATGAACATAATATCAGAGTTTTAAAAAACAGGAAGATGGATATAGCACTGTCTACAATACCTCAAAGCATTATTTATGATATTAGAAACTGGAAATGATCTAAATTCTAGCAATAGGAAACTGGTTCAGCCGCCCTATGAAATATTGTACAGCATTAAGAGTTAAAAAGCTGGATCTAGGGGCCGGCCCCGTGGTGTAGTAGTTAAGTCTGGCGCGCTCTGCTTTGGCAGCCCAGGTTCGCTGGTGCAGATCTCTTGTGCAGACCTACACCACTCATCAAGCCATGCTGTGGTGGCATCCACATACAAAATAGAGGAAGACTGGCACTGATGTTAGCTCAGCGACACTCTTCTTCAAGCAAAAAGAGGAAAATTGGCAACAGGTGTTAGCTCAGAGCAACTCTTCCTCGCGAAAAAACAAAACTGGATCTAAATATATCTGTACCAATAAAAAAAAAAAAGAGCTCTAAGATACAAACAAAAAGCAAGTATCATATCATCCTATTTATGTTTTAAAAATCTCACATCTGTGTCTTCACATTTTTCTTAATGTGAAAAAGTCTAGATGGGTAAACTCTAAACTCTTCCCCTCCAGAGGCAGGGAGGGGGGTCAGTTAGGAGAACAAACTGGAACTTCCCATGTTTGTTCTATATACTTCTGTACTGTTTGAGTTTGTTACAATGAAAACACATTACGTCCGTAGTTTAAACAAAGAATTTAAAGAATGAAAACGCTGAACCCTTTTATCCTATCTATACGGGACAGACATATATGGGGTGGACATATATGGAGTAGATGTATATGGGATAGGGGGTGGATGTATATGGGGTAGACATATATGGGATAGATGTATATGGGATAGAAGTATATGGGGTGGACGTATATGGAGTAGATGTATATGGGATGGGGGTGGATATATATGGGGTGGACGTATATGGGGTGGAGGTATATGGGATAGGGGGTGGACATATATGGGGAAGATGTATATGGGATAGACATATATGGGATGGATATATATAAGATTGAAGTCTCTTACCCCAATTGTCTCCTTGCACTTCTCACCACCTGGCATTTCACATGCCTGTTAGTTATTTTATTTTTTGTCTCCTCCGTCTTGAGAGGACAGAGACTTTGTTGTGTTCATAGCTGTGTCTCAGGTATGCAGTAGGCACACAGTTTATGTGATTGTTATTACCATTATTGCAACTGAAAGTACAACACAGAGAATGAAATGAACAAATCTATGCTGGTTTGTAATTTGTTCTCCAAAGAGCAGTCTTGTTTTTACAATAACTGTAAAATATCAGCTGCTCAAAGAATTCAAACTTTAAAAAGAACAGCATATCTTTTGCTTTAAAAATTGTTGCTTTAGAATAGAGATACTTAGAGCCCTTGAAATATAAATTTTGTCCACATTCCAAATAACACTATTGCAAATAAGTATGACTTTTAAAAATGCCTGTCTCTGCTACTTAAAACACACAAAAAAAGTTGACATTGTATATACAAGACACAAAAAATTGTGGATACGGGATTGAATATTAAAATAATTTAACTCAATCAGACAAAATGCCATGTTTTTGGTACAGAGTTGAATGTAATTCCAAAACTATATAATTTGCTTTTAAAGAAAAATGACCAATTCGGAGGTTAAGGATATTAATATAATTTGTCTTGAATTGATTTCACCCAAAATATATATTAATATGATTCCTCTCCGATCATTAAATTAAGCCCTTAGAATGCAAGTTAAAACACTGCTAAGATCCAAAACAGCAGCAGCCTGGCATCACGGGGCGTAGACACAAATTTTAATTCTCTGGTGTTAGCTCAGCACACAAAATCTGCATGCACAGGACTGTGAGAAACTAAACCACAAGACATCGGCACCTGGCCCACTTAATGAAGTACGGCAAGTGGTCGAGAAGACTGAATGTGTAGAAGGAATAGCGAGTTATCTCTGTCACAGTCCACGAGACCAGAAAGAGCACCACACTCTCCTCATTCTGGATCTGCAGAATTACAGAGAGATCCACAGTGTCGTTTAACCTTCAACTTATATTCCCATGAAGATATTTTATTGTAATTATTTATCATGTGTCTTTATTATAATGGAATGTTGGGGTTAGACAGATGCAACACAGAAAACTTAATACAGTCACTATTACAAAATTCACTATTAACATGCACCTTAAATACGTCCTAAGCACAGGATGGTCAAATTTCTACTGGTTTTTCTCTCTCACCTGTCACTCCAGCCAATAACTCAACCATCCCAGGATAACAACACACCCTCAAAACCAGCGTGGGAACAATCTGACCCTCTGACTTTCTATTAGTCGCCAAATCGCACCCACTCTACCGGAGCACTAACTCTTGAATCTGCCCTCTCCTCTTGGGCCCTGCTACCACTATTTAATCAATCATCTCTCATCTAGACTACTGTAACAGCCTCCTAAATAGTCTCTCCACTCTTTATTTATTCTCTCATTCTCTTCATGGATTTAAGTGTTCTCTTAAAAGCAAAACAAAGAAGCAAACAAACAGAAACCAAATGGGAAGCAGCTAGTCCTGTGATTTAAAAGCTTCATTGGGTCTCCACTGCTCAACAGGAGAAAAGGATCAAATCCCAGGACCTGAGCACGATGTTCAAGGTTCTTCACAATCCGTGCTCAGAAACCTCTCCAACTTCATCTACGATCACTTGACCTCCCCTCCCACCGTGACACTAAACTCTGTGTTATTTCCAGAATATGCTCTGAACGTTTGTGTCTTTACACACGCTATTCTGTCTAATCAGAATGCTACTTCCTTATTACTTCCTTATTGCCACCTTTCTCATCTTTTAAGATGCAGCTAAACATCCTGCCCTCTGGAACACTTTTCCCAAACCCCTCCCCTCACTCTGAGCAATTATCTGCTCATCTTCCTTGTTCTCACAGTACTTTGGTCATATCCGTATTGTAATACATGCCAATCTGTATGAAAATTTCACATAATTTAATATGTTAATTTAATATAAATCAATTTATATATTCCTCCCTCAGGGGAGCCTTCCTTCACCCCCTAGGTCAGGCTGAGTCCCCAGGTATACTGCAATGCATATTGGTTTCTTGTTTCAGAGTAGTAACACTAAATAATGAAACTAATATAATTATTTGTGCAACTCTTGGTTCAGCATCTCTCCCAACTGCAGGCTCCACAAGGCGGGAACCATGTTGTATTATTAAGAGGCAGATTCCCAGCACGGTATCAGGCAACAAATAAGTGCACAACTAGTATGTGCTGAATGACTCAACATGTGTGTGACTGCCCTCACTCCCCAACAGCCAGTACATCGTAGCTCGGATGCCTTTTTCATTTTTGTAAATCCAGAAATTAGCACAGTGTCAGGTATGTAGAATGCACTCCATAAATGGTTGAATTAATTAACAAGTGGTGCATAGGTGCCAATAAGAAAGTACTGTCGGAGAGAATTAAACAGTACTATTAAGGCAGAGGTCTTGTGGAGGACAAAAAAGAGCACATGGATCTCTTTTCTATTGGGGACCAGCCACTCTCTAGCTTCTCTTAAACTCCTTTTCTCCAGTTAATGTTGGCCATCCTGCCTGTGTCTTTTTTCTTCCTCTGTCTTCAGACTCTGCGTGGTTCTGGCCCAGCTATTATATTCATTCACTGTCTGGAATAGACTCTCATTCTGTGAATGTTGGACTCCTGCTTTTAAAGTCCTGGGCCATGTGAATAAAAAGCCCGGCTCTCCTCGTGGCAGTGTTCACTGCTAACTGTACCGCAGTCGCTGGTTAGGGACCAAGTGGATCAAGTAAGTTGAGCGAAAGATACTAGTCAAGAGAGCTGAAGTGTAGACTATTAAGAGGGCAGAAGGTCAGTGATCTGTCCCCGCTCAGACAGGAGGCCAGTGAGTCTAGCAGGCAATGGAAGGGAGGTCAGGTATCACCCCAAGCAGAGATGACACAAGAAAGGCATCTGAGGAACAGAAAGGAGGCCAGAGATCTGTCCTCAAGTAGACAGGAGCCTCCGGAGGCTGTCAAGAAGGTCAGAAGGGCCCATCTGGGAAATGCTTCTGTCACGAGTTTACAAGGCCCAATGACTCGACATAGCAAGCATGGTGTGTGTTTGTCTAAAAGAGTTTAAGCCCCTAATTACATTCAGGTCTGTCTCCTGTCATGCCTCAATAAATAACGTTTATTTTTCCCTAAGTCCCTTAACCCTTCTAACTTTCAATTTCGTCTCTCCATTTGTTCAGATCTATAGAACTCCATTTATTTTTTATGTCTGTTGCTATAATACTTAGTGCTAAATGAGAAAGATTAAACTGTTTATACTGACAACTTCAATTACATAATCAAAGAGAATACACATAACTTCAACAAAAAAGAAAATTTTCAGTTAACTATTTGACAGAATATGAATATTAATTTTAAAAATTGGAAAACACCAGAGGAGAGTATATTATGGATATTAAATGCCAATACTTGGTTTTGCTCGTGTTTCAAAATCACTCTACTAATTATAATTAGTATTCTACTAACACACTAAGTCAATGTACAATCACACTTAAATCCAAACCCAACTCTTTTTTTGTCCATGGTTCTGCTTCCTGAAATATACCAACGTTAATATTTTTGATTCCTATGAATAAACAAGCTTTCCTGTGGGCTCAGGTAGAGAACATGTTCGTGTCACTTACTGGTTTTATACTGTGAGTAACGAGCCACACCATAAAGATTCTTGAACTCACTTGGACCCCAGCCACTATCACAGAAGTAGGTACAATTCCTTAAAGAGAAAAACAAGTCAACCATTGCCCTAACCAATTTATACCAAAAATAAAAATTAAATAAAAAACTCACCAATTAAACAGTGGACTATCTGTAAGCAAATAAAAAAATAATCACAAGTCAATAGTATACAACATAAAATAAATCCCTGTCAACACTGGTTTTAAATGAATCCATAGCTGGTATGTAATCAGCAAAATAAGATTGATTTTGCTCAACAAATAAATTTTCAAATAAGTATTACAATGACAGAAAAACAGCACCATTGAAAACTTACCTCAAGTAAGGCAAATGTCTGGAAAAATTTAAGCGTCTTCTGAACACTTTTATATAAACCTTTGTGTGTTCCTTTTTCCATATAAAAACGTACCATGGCAATAGCTAGAACCAACCACCTGCAGAAAATAAAAGTATTTTATAAAGTTCTATCAAGATGAGCAGCACTAATCCTCCTGAAAAGGAATGCCATAATTTATATAGTAATAACATGTACGTTTTATTATGCTCTCAGTTCAAAATTCTATTTAAAAAACCCACAGGAAGAAATGAAAACATTATTTTTACACTGACTTTTCAAAAGGATGAACAGAACATATTCGAGACCAACTACCTACAAATGTCAAACCATGTCCATTGCATTTCTGGTTTCAGCAGATAAACTGACAGACTGAAGAAACCAGGTTTACTACCAAAAATGAAGTTAATATAAAGTATTTGATAATTATATAAAGATTTCTTAAGGTAAAAAGCTGTGTGTGTATAATATGTGCTTTATACAAATACAGATATAATTTTATGTAATTATAAAGTAAAAATATTTAATAAGAATCATTAATTAATATTTTTATAATTTTCACTAAATAAAAACAATTGTTGTGCCACAGAAGGAAAGCATATAGAAGGACTGCTTTCAAACAGTTTGTTTAAAAAAAATAAAATAGAAGGCCAGCCCTTTGGCATAGTGGTTAAGTTTGGCACGTTTCACTTTGGCGGCCCGGGTTCACAGGTCCAGATCCCGGGCACAGACCTACACCACTTGTCAGCCACACTGTGGCGGTGACCCACATATAAAGTAGAGGAAGACTGGCAACAGATGTTAGTTCAGGGCTAATCTTCCTCAGCAAAAAAAAAAAACAAAAAGAAAAGAAAAAATACATATGCCCTTCCTTTTCAACTTACATTTGTACATTATACATAGATTCTGTTGTGAATTAACGGTACTTAAAATACAAGCTACCCCTGTGGAGCCCAGCTTTCTCACCCTACCACTCAATCTCCAAGAGTCACTGATGAGAGGTCATTTTTTTCCAGTTTCCCTCCCAATTACAAAAGCACTTTTAAGTTTAAAAAGCTGCATCATCTGCAACTTTAAAAAATCTTTACTAATACACCCGCGGAAATGAGCAGCTACCTCAGGCTTTTAAAGTCAGTGGTGTCCAGGTGTCTAGTTAAATGGATGTCTGAATTACAGAACTATGATACAGTTTTAACTTGTTAAAGAGCACTCATAAAATAGACAAATGGCTTAACGATTCCTGCAAAGAAACTACTGATCGAATACGATGGAAGCGAAAGCTCAGGGGAACAGCAAGCAAACGGCAGAACGACAACTCTCCTCTGGGAACGTCCACTGCTCCTCCTCACACGATGAGGAGAAAGCAATGACTTTCTCATGAGATGTGAGAAGAAGTCAGGTGAATGCAACTATCACAAAGACCTTTGAAATGCAGAATAATGATAACAACGACAATGATAATAATAAGTACACTTTCAGGAGCTGTCAATGTTCCAGACTGTTCTATATGCATATTTAACATATTCAGACTCCATCCTCACAAACCCTACGAGGCAGCGACTACTATTCTATTTTCCTGCTGTAGAAACAGCAGAAACAGTCACACAGTCAGCTGGGACCTAAACTCACCACTGAGCTCTGAGTCTTGAACCACCGTGCTGTACTGGTCTGGCTCTCAGTATATACTGTGCCTTGGGATATCAGCTAATCACAGTAATTCGTGTATTTAAATTATAAGTAATTCTAAAAGTGATATAGAGTGTTATGCTCAAATATTTCAGCTGATAGTAGTGTGCTCTAGAAAAAGTCTGCAGTTTTATATGAGACAATCACTACGCAGAGACATCTAGTGACTTATCCTAAGTCACAGAGTAAGTTAACGGTCGAGGTCTCCTAACCCCCACTGCTGTCCCCTTCCACCACACCATGGCTGTCCTGGATTCAACTGATGGCTCCATCCCATACGAGAGCCAACACTGGATTCTGTGCTGGGCTAACCTAGCCATGCTACTCTGGATAACGTTTTAGGTACTTTCCAGGTTTCAAATGTTATCATTTCATTATCCTCAATTCCAAGTCCCTATACTACTTCCAATAAGAAAACAAAAAGCTTAATAAAATGTTTTAATTCACATTTTCTATTCACTTGTCTTTTTTTTTTAGGCAAATCCAAATCAGATTTTTAGCAAAGATCAATTTGAACGGTAATTATTAACCTACCAAAGAGTTCATCAAAGAATGAGTTTTCTACATTTCTAAATAGCATTATGTAAAAATCCAGTCATTGTAACAAAAAAATTGTTGTTATAAATTATACTGCTGATCCATAGGTGGCAGTATTGCACCAACTGGTATATTATGATAATACCAATCACTAACTTGTTCGAAATAAAAGAAATGAACACTCCAGGGCTAGAAAGGACCACGGAACCACCTATGCTAACTAATCACCTGTTTTTCAGTAAATCTGGCCAGGAGCTAATCTGAACTAATCTGCGCTCACTTCCTAAACCCACCATCACAAGGGGGGACAATCAAAGTCTCTCGTAAGGGCCCTACATTTAACTAACCTTGGACTTCCTACACCCATCAGTTTAGCACCTGTGATTAAAAAAAAAAAAAATTCCAAAAGCAATTGGAGCTTCTGCAATTAGGAATTCTTTTCTGGAAAGTTCTGTTTTTTCAAAATACGCCAGAGCTATTTATTATCCAAAAATGAACCCAAATAGATACACTCCTTGATAAAATATTCTTTGGAAAATATAAACCTGTGCTCTCTATGTAGAAGATTTCTTGCTTGCTTAATTCATTTATTTATTCGTTCATCTTCAGGTTTAACATTTATTGCTAAGCCAAGTTCTGCGCTAGATGCTGGGGAATTAGAGATAAAGTGGACATCGTCTTGGCCTCAAAGAACTTTTAAATTACTCAGTGGAGACAGGAGAACAGTGCTATCACAAGAGATACCTGCCATAACCTACTAAACACAGGGGCCTTCTCCTCAGACCACCATGGCTACGATGACCCTGAAAGCCCTCATCAAAGGAGGGGCTCTTTCTTCTGGCTGTCTTCTGATGCTTCTTTTTCTCCTGAGATTTCTTAGAGACCACCTGCTCCCTGAAGAACTTGGTTATATACACCTCTACCTCCTTTTCTTAATTTCAACAGTGCTTTTAAAATTTTTATTATAAACAACTTTAAATATACACAAAGGCACAGAGAATGGCATAATGTAGCCCCAGGTGCCCACTACCAGCTTCACACATTATCATCTTATGGATAATCTTGTTTCATCCAAACCTCTATTCACATCTCTCCCCACTTCCCCTCCTCTGATTATTTTGAATCAAATCTCATACATCCTATAATGTGATCCATAAATGCTTAATTATGTTTCTCTAAAAGGATGATTTTTAATCAACATAACCATAATACTATTATCCCATGTAAAAAATTTAATAACTTCCTAAATCACAACACATACAATACAAACTTCCTTAGTTGTCTCATAATTTTTTTAAATCATGATTGAAATAAGGTTCATACCTTGTAATTAGTTGCTATGTCTTTCATGACTCTTTTAATCTATCCATTACCCCTCCCTCCCTCCATCCATTCATCTCTCCTTCTCTCTCTCTCTTGAAATTTGTCATTGAAGACACTGAGCGGTTTGCTCTGAAGAGCAACCCTCAGTCTGGGATTGCTAATCGGACACCCACAGGTCATTTATTATGCTCTTCTGTCTCCTGTATTTCCTGTAAATTGATAGTAAATTGATAGCTTCAGGGGCTTGATCAGATAGATTCACGCTCCAGGCTAACTCACAGGCTGTGTTGTGGACCTCTCTAGGGAGCACATAATTCCTGGCTGTGGTTCTTGTTTGTGATAGTAGCAGTCATTGATAATCACTGCCCAGATCCATTATTTCAGCACCTATTGAAAATATTCTAATTTTAGTATTTCTTCTTTATGCCTCCTTTAAGGTAACCATTTGGAGGCTCATACCAGAGATGGTCTTTGATGTTCATACCATCCATACTTGCATGTATTGTTCATTGACATTTCTAAACTTCCTTTCCTAGACTAAATTGAGACTTTTGTTTAGTAGCCAATATTTGTTTCAACTTATTATTGCACATCTTAACTCATGCCGAAAGAATTAGGCTGAACGGTTCATAAAAGAAAAAAACAGATAAACTGGACTTCATTAAAATTAAGGCCTTCTGCTCTTTGAGAGACACTATGAAGAGAATGAAAAGCCAAGCCACACCTGAGAGAAAATATTTACAAATCACATATCTGATAAAGGACTTGTATCCAGACTACATAAAGAACTCTCAAAACTCAATAGTAGAAAATCAAACCACCCCATAAAAAAATAGGCAAAAGATTTGAACAGACACTATACCAAAAAAGATACACAACTGCCAAGTAAACATATGAAAAGATGTTCAGTGTCATTAGTCACTAGGGAAATGGGAATTAAAATCACGATGAGATAACACAACACACCTATGAGAATGTCTAAAATTATGACGACTGCCCACACCAAGTGCTGGCGAGGAGGTGCAGCGACCGCAACTCTCATTCAGTGCCCAGGGGAACATAATATGGTACAAGCACTTTGAAAACAGTTTGGCTGTTTCTTAAGAAATCAAGCATGTGACCAGTATATGACCCAGCCACTCCACTCATAGGTATTTACCCAATAAAAATGAAAGCACGTGTCCTTACAAAGACTTGTAGGTGAATGCTCAGAGCTTTATTTGTCATAGCCCCAAGCTGGAAAGAACCCAAATGTCCATCAACAGATGAATGGAAAAACAAGCTGTGGTACATCTACCCTCCTCGGGAATAAAAATGGATCTACCTCCTCAGGAAGAAAATATATGGCTATTACTTAACATTTTGGGAAATGTATATGCCTGAACTTTGGATTTGGTGCTCTAATAATTCACACTATCTATACTGTGAAAATATCTAAATAGTTCCTCTTTCTGCAGGAAGTGCATATTTAAATTAACCACTAGGAATAGAAGTTATTTTTAAACACCCACTGTGTGGCAGGCACCCTGCTGAACACTTTGTACGCACTATCTCTTTATTCCATGTAATAACCTAACAAAGCAGTTGTCTGGTTCCAACTTTAAAGATGAGAAAACTTACGGTCAGAGAGATCGAGTAACTTATCTGAGGTTACCCAGCTAAAAGGAGTGAAACATAACCTTCAATCAGCACCTTTCTGTTTACAGATTAAAATCTGAACAGGTTAGAAAAGCATTTAAGGCCCTGTGCAGTCACAGCCCAAGTTACCCGTCCATCTTCATTTCCCACCCTACACTTCAGGCCCATTCGTTGCTGCCTCAACAGCATGTCTAGCAATGTCACCTCTGTCCCCTAACTCACGCTGTTTGCCTATTAAATCCTACTCATCCTTCAAAGCTTAGCTGAAATGCTACGATCTCGCCAACAAATTTCTCTGATTCTTCCTACCTGTCTGACCCGACACCTCTGTAGGGCCCTTATTCCGTCCCGTCTTTTACTGCAATATATAAATGCCCCAGGTTACACTTCTTCAAGGACGGGGCCTAAAATATTTACCTTCTGTCTCTCACTTGACCTAGGACAAGGCACTTAACACATATGGGCTCAAAAGTGTCTGTTGAAAAGCAAAAAAAAAAAAAAGAGAAATGCTCGCTTCCCTAGTCAAGCACCTAGTACGAACAAGTACCATAAAAATCCTCACATCCTTTAAAGGGGTAATTCTACTCCTGGGATTCATCCTAAGCAACTAATCCAACAGAAACAAATAAAAGCAAACTGTCATCGGGGGCATGATTTAATCCATTATTGTACATTAACTCCATACACTCTTATGTAACCATGAAAGAGTGTAATTATAAAAACTACATAGAAATATTTGGTAGAATATTAAGTGAAAATAGAATATAAAACAGAGAAGATACTATAACTACAATGCTCTATAATATGTATTCATTTGATAAATATTTATTGAGTGCTTCACGGAGCTTACACCATAACAGGGGGACCACAGACAACAAGCAACGAGACAAATTAGTAAAATCCATTGTACACTTAACATGTCAGTAAGTGGGATGGAGAAAAATAAAGCAGGCAAAGGGGAAAAGGAATGTTTGTGTGGAGGTTGCTATGTGAATGAAGACGGCCAGGGAAGGCCTCCCTGAGAATGGAGATTTGAGGAAAAATCTGAAGTTACATACTCATAGGAAAGACAATAAGGAAAAATGAAAGGTTGTGCTAAGCTTACAGAATTAAGCAAGTTCTTTTTTTACATTTATATAAAAATTTTATTTCTTAAATATTATTTTATTGTTTTCAAAACTATTACAAAACATTAATAAACATTCCAAAGTTCTGCTAAAAGAGAAAAACAAAATAAGCAAGTCAAATGAACAAAAGGACCCTCTGCTAGCCACACCATTAAATGTATGCCTTTGTTTCCCACTTTCAACACCACAACGTCTCTAATCTTATTTGCCACTATTCACGAACCCTCCAATTAAATTGAGAGAATATGCCCAGTTTTCTTGCATCTCATGCCTATTTCTGGAATTTATCTCACTTGAAATATCTACCCTCTACATACACCAATCGTATTCCTTCTTCAAATCTCAACATCTCTAAAAAGCCTCCAGAGTTAAGTTACGCAGATTATTCCATTTCAGCTATCCTTGCCTTTAAACAGAGATGAAAATGACCAGGGACCTCCTCAATAATGGCAGGGAAACAGACAAGTTTCAGATAAGCAGTAATTTGTATGAGCAGTAATGAGAATGCAAAGGAGAGAAAACTTAACTCTGCTCCAGTGGGATAGGAGATCTAGAAAACTTCAGAGGTGGGCTTGGTTAGAAGTCATGGGAGCAATATGGAGGATAGCATACAATGAGTGGACAGCCTCAGCAAAGATGGAAAGAGCCGTGAAAATAAAAATGCATGGTGCTTTGCGGGCATAGTGAGTTAGAGGAGATTTCAAATGCAAAAAAACTGGAATCAGGGAGCATATTGCAAAGGGCCTTGAGTGACAGGCAGCCTAAATCCTGTCGATTACAGTGGAGGAACGGCGAGTCACTGCAGGCTTTAAACTTCAGATATGCGTTGATTTTTACTTAATAGGCAACTTGGCCTTCAGAAGGGAGAGTGGACTGGAAAGGGAAGGGACAGCAGACCAGTTAATAAATGGCAGGTATTCCAAAAATGTTTACTAACTGGATGAGACTATCACAGAGAAGAGAGAACTCCTTCAGCCTCCACTGTATCTAAAGGCGGCAGCGCATGGTGGGCACTCAATTGTTCTCCAGTTGCTCTGAAGACATTAGTCTTCTCTGTCAAGATTATAAAATTTAGTAAAGTGCAAAGGCAAAGCAGCAGCACCAGTGTGGAGTCAGACTGTCTGGGCTGAAAACCAAATCTGACAATTGCTCGTGTGATCTTAAGCAAGGTAGCTGATCTCTTTGTGCCTCAGTTTCCTTATTTATCAAATGTACTATCATGGACCGCTCACAGGATTGTACAGAACTAAAAACGAGACAGTACCTCTAACATAGCCAATACAGTGCCTGGCACATAGTAAATCCCCCATAAATATTATATTTTTTCTGACCTGTATTTGGTATTGAGATGGCACACCAGGCACAGAATAGGTACTCAGTACTGGGTCAAATCATTTATTAAATCTTTGTCACTCACCTGTTTCCATAAGCCCTGGAGAAAAGTTTAAGATACTAAACTTTTCCCCACATTTACATAGGTTAATAAGACTTCATGTGATAACAGGAAAATAACTTGTAAAAGGCAATGCAACTTAGCAACGGAAGAGCATTTTCCCAATAGGTTTTGAAAAACTGTCGGCAAGGAAGTCACTTTGACAGCTCTTTGAAGAGCGATAGTGACTGTGTAACCTTAACTTGGAAGTCAGATTCAACGCCAGAAATTCAAGTACGGGGTATCAGTAGTGGAGCATGGGGCCACAAAGATGCTGGACACCAGTGTCATGCTCCGACACGACAGGGTTTTAAGAAAATCGTCCCAGGTGAGAGGCTCTAGGGCGCACAACTGCTTTAAAACAATCGTGGTGACAGGAGCAGTTAAGAAAACTCTGCCCGGCGCTCAGCAGCACGAGGAAGCGCACTCTAGGGGCGGGCGGCCGAGGAAGCGGGTTCGGGCCACCGGCCCGACGGCCCCGGCTCCGGGGTGGCCGGACCCCGGCGCGTCCTCAACAGCAGCAGCAAGCAGCGGCGCCCGCGGCGGCCGCCTCCCCCGCAGGTCGGCCCCGCATTCCTGCCCGGGTCTATACTTAACCTCCGGCCCGCGCCCTGCGGCCGCCGCGCCCCGCCGTGCACCGTATTAGGCAATGCCCGG